TTTCATCGAGTGTGGCTAGAATTAAAAAATTAAAATCTTGATACCTTGGACCATGAATCTTATGCATACTTCTTTTTGTCAGTATGATACTGTTTAAGGACAAGTCGATACTGTGCAATTAAAAAATTCTTAATCGCTCGATTCTTCTAACATTTAGATGCAATGATTTGGCAATTAAACCAATTTACAACAGAACGATAATCTATCGACCCTGGAAGCAGGGGTGTTAATGTCATCTTGTCAAAAATTCACTGAATCACAAATTTACGATACAGAGAACTTTCAGCAACGCAACATATTGATAATGGGCAAATTAAAACGAAAGTTTGAAACTATTAAAGTGGCGGCTTTCTTCATGCTTCCATGGTCATTATTCAAGCCAATCTCTGGTACAGTCTTAATCACACCGTACGAAGCCGTTAATTCGAAGAAATTTATTTTTGAAAACGATTTTTCGAATAAGATGATCACTGCAGTGTGCACTTTTTTGCTTGCATTCAACATGATGGTTCTAATGTAGCATTGGTCGATTATCTGCTTCATTAATTTGATATTTTTCAACTTTATCATTTATATACCTTGAGAAGGAGAAGGACTTATGAACCTGGTCAAAATTCAAAATCACGGTTCTTTCGATTGCTCCTCACCTGATTTGACATGCACAGCTACATCAATTCCATATACTAAACCGTTGAGAAGGTTGCTTTTTGCTAACAGGCATAACATTACAGCGGATTGACAGGGCACATCACACCTTTATGACAAATACGTCAAGAGGAAGGGTAATGACATTAAAAACCTTAAAATATAAGCTATCGTTTTTATCAATTCTTCAAGAAATCATGGCGGTCATTTTTAAGGCTACAAAGCGGTACGAATTATTTATATATTCCAGTTTATGAATAAATACTTTTAATAACTACTGGTACCAGTTTTCAACAGAAATAGGTGTGTCATTCCACGCGAATCTAATTATTGATTTCAAATAAAAGTTTATGAATATTAACTGAGTTTACCGTAAATAAACCCCGGTATCATGGGTTTGCTAGTAAACTGTTTGTATTCCTGTTAGTCACGTGTTTAGACAGATACTTTAACTTTACATATTAAGTCACTTCATCACTTCGGAATCAGGGAGTGAGCACGACCACTGCTGACTCTTGCATCCGAGGGTTACAAATAACTTTCGCGGTAGGTCAAGCATCTATCCACTGTTAAACCCTCAACTTAGACCAAAGGCTACCTGAGTTGCTCCCAACAGATTCCTTGAGTTCGGGCAAGTCCCAAACAGAGGGAAACTACAGAAAGCCCGACCTACATTGAAACTGGTCCGTCACTTTCAGATGCAACACCGTTGCCGATCCGGCTCTAAGCTACATGGTAGTTCGCAAACTTCTTCATACTACTTCTTCACACATACATTCTATATTAAGCAGGAAATTAAACACAATTAACAGACATAAACTTAAACTCGTCGCTCAACTAGTACCTACTTCTGGAAGACGCATTATTACTGCTGAAAAGCCTATGCAAATGCATATGAAGAGATCGGCTTCGAAATCATCGCTGAGCATTAGCGAGAGGTTGCTTATACAACTGAATCATGGGCTGCTTAAACTGCCCACACGAATCCAGAAGCAAGGAGCATAGCATGAAACGTAGTTTTGCAGCAATTATATACTTAATTAAGACATCATTGTGAAATCCGCTCGCCATACCACTTACACCATGAATTATGCTTTATGCCTTATAAAAAGAAAGGTATAGACGATGTTCGGTAAACAATATGAGGAAACAGTGTAGAAAAAGCAGCATGTTTAATTTATGCCATTTGAATGATCAGAATTGGTGGAACATAGAGCAAGTATTGCACATAATACAATCAAGTCTTTGAACAGAGAATAGCATTGAGTACATACAGATATACAAGGAGATACTGATTCATTGCCTGTTTGAATAGCAGTTAATGGTATTCGCTTTTTAATCCACTGTTCAGGGCAATAATTAAAAAGAATGCGGTAAAATCACTTATTTTTCGAAGTGCTGTTTTTAGTTGTACATCTGAACCATCGATCAAGAAACAAAGACCATTAAATGTTCATTACTTATATTGTTATTATTATTAACCAAGTGTTTTAAAGTGTATCCCGCATAAGATTGTATCAGTAATTTCCTGTAGGATTACTGACATAACTGACTTTACTTAGTTTCAAGCCTAAAGTCATCACATGAAAACTTTTCGAGTTGAAAAGCGTTCTCGCTTATGCCAAGAACATGTATACAGTCGAACCATAATCCCGATGGTTCCACCAACATATGCATCAATCCCGACAACACCACGATGCCGTTATGCACCCACGCCCAGCAGCTGCTCGAAACCATAATGGAGGTGAACTTGTTTGAGTCCTCTAGACCTAAAGAAGCAATAGGGCTGTGCCGCTTTGCTGCATAGCAATGAGTTGCATGAGTCCCTCTCTACAGCAGGATTGGCGCTAACCAACTCTAGTTAATATTAAATCTAAAGTCATAACATATTACATTGAAAATAAAGATGTGAG